CTACGAAAAAGTCAATGCGCGCGTATCTGTCAAATGTATGGTTAAAGGGTTATTTCGCATTTTTTGCCGATCCGCACACATTGGAATTTCGCTAACTCCTCCGAAGGCTTTCGTTCCACCGGCACCACATTTGCTCAGGCCAATCTACACCCCATGGCCATTAAAAGTTATTCAAATCATGACGCTGCACCCCACGGTTTAGGTTCTAGGGGGCGCCAAAGATAACCCTAAAATCCACATATTTAAAAGTCTTATAACTTTTTATTTTTGTCCTCACTGGCCTCCAAGTTTTCTAGGATGATGCAATGTCCAGCCATCAACACATTTGTGAAGGAATTTTTACTCCCCAAAAGAGCGCCCCCCCATGGCAGGAGAAAAAAGTCCATTTTTTTTTGTCCCATAAGGTGAAAAAACACATTGTTGAGATTCACGCCTATACGCTTTGTCATATTGACACAAAATTTGACAATCACATGTATCTCAATAAGATCTACGAAAAAGTCAATGCGCACGTATCTGTAAAATGTACGGTTAAAGGGCTATTTTGCATTTTTTGCCGATTCACACACATTGGAATGTGGCTAACTCCTCCTAAGGCTTTCGTCCCACTGACACCAAATTTGCTCAGGCCAATCTACACCCCATGGCCATTCAAAGTTATAAAAATCATGACGCTGCACCCCACGGTTTAGGTTCTAGGGGGCGCCAAAGATGACCCAAGTATCCACATTCTTAAAAGAATCCACATCCCCCCCCATCCCCCATCCCCCATCCCCCATCCCCCATCCCCCATGGCAGGAGAAACAGTCAAGTTTTTCCTGCCCATTACTCAATGGCTCAATCGCATCACTCTCCCGGCAACACCGTAACGAGGAGCAACTTGCCGTTTGGATATATCCTAGCTGTGTTTCTGCCCTCACTCATGGTCCAGACTTTTTTCAAATAGGACATGTAGTTTGTCTGCAGCGAGTGTTTTGGTAGAAACTGCGCCTCCCATTCATTATAATGGGAAATGACCACAGACAAGTGCGCACACCATCTTTGGACCTTGAGTGTGACGCGATCGGGAGGGGGAGGCGGTCGCGATATACGCTCCACGTATATGTAAAATGTACAGTTAAAGGGTTATTTCACATTTTTTGCAGATCCGCACACATTGGAATTTGGCTAACTCCTCCTAAGGCTTTCGTCCCACTGACACCAAATTTGCTCAGGCCAATCTACACCCCATGGCCATTCAAAGTTGTAAAAATCATGACGCTGCACCCCACGGTTTACGTTCTAGGGGGCGCCAAAGATGACCCAAATATCCACATTCTTAAAAGAATCCACATCCCCCCCCCCATCCCCCATCCCCCATGGCAGGAGAAACAGTCAAGTTTTTCCTTCCCATCACTCAATGGCTCAATCGCATCACTCTCCCGGCAACACCGTAACAAGGAGCAACTTGCCGTTTGGATATATCCTAGCTGTGTTTGTGCCCTCACTCATGGTCCAGACTTTTTTCAAATAGGACATGTAGTTTGTCTGCAGCGAGTGTTTTGGTAGAAACTGCGCCTCCCATTCATTATAATGGGAAATGACCACAGACAAGTGCGCACACCATCTTTGGACCTTGAGTGTGACGCGATCGGGAGGGGGAGGCGGTCGCGCTGGGGGCGGCGTGACATGGCTCGGGCCCGCCAGTGCCCCAACGGGGCCCTAGTTTTTCTTTTTCCTCCCCTTTGAACTGGAAAATGGCCCACTTCCCACTGGCGAAAACTCATGAAATTTGGCAGGACGACCGGGCCTGGTGAAAAATTTGATATTCCGAAGTCGCCCAAACAAGAAAATGCAAAATGGCTCCATAGCGCCCCCTAAGGTGAAAATTCACACTATTGACTGTCACGCCTGTATGTTTTGTCAAAATGACACAAAAATTGACACACACATGTATCTCAATAAGATCTACAAAAAAGTCAGTGCGGGCGTATCTGTCAAATGTACGGTTAAAGGGTTATTTCGCATTTTTTGCCGATCCGCACACATTGCAATTTCGCTAACTCCTCCGAAGGCTTTCGTTCCACCGGCACCACATTTGCTCAGGCCAAGCTACACCCCATGGCCATTAAAAGTTATTCAAATCATGATGCTGCACCCCACGGTTTAGGTTCTAGGGGGCGCCAAAGATAACCCTAAGATCCACATATTTAAAAGTCTTATAACTTTTTATTTTTGCCCTCACTGGCCTCCAAGTTTTCTAGGATGATGCAATGTCCAGCCATCAACACATTTGTGAAGGAATTTTTACTCCCCAAAAGAGCGCCCCCCCATGGCAGGAGAAAAAAGTCCATTTTTTCTTGTCCCCTAAGGTGAAAATACACATTGTTGAGTGTAACACCTGTACGCTTTGTCAAAATGACACAAAAATTGACACACACATGTATCTCAATAAGATCTACGAAAAAGTCAATGCGCGCGTATCTGTCAAATGTACGGTTAAAGGGTTATTCCGCATTTTTTGCCGATCCGCACACATTGGAATTTCGCTAACTCCTCCGAAGGCTTTCGTTCCACCGGCACCACATTTGCTCAGGCCAATCTACACCCCATGGCCATTAAAAGTTATTCAAATCATGACGCTGCACCCCACGGTTTAGGTTCTAGGGGGCGCCAAAGATAACCGTAAAATCCACATATTTAAAAGTCTTATAACTTTTTATTTTTGTCCCCACTGGCCTCCAAGTTTTCTAGGATGACGCAATGTCCAGCCATCAACACATTTGTGAAGGAATTTTTTCTCGCCAAAAGAGCGCCCCCCCATGGCAGGAGAAAAAAGTCCATTTTTTCTTGTCCACTAAGGTGAAAATACACATTGTTGAGTGCTACGCCTGTATGTTTTGTCGTATTGACACAAAATTTTACATACACGTGTATTTCAATAAGATCTTCGAAAAAGTCAATGGCCACGTATCTGTAAAATGTACGGTTAAAGGGTTATTTCGCATTTTTTGCAGATTCGCACACATTGGAATTTCGCTAAATCCTCCGAAGGCTTTCGTTCCACCGGCACCACATTTGCTCAGGCCAATCTACACCCCATGGCCATTAAAAGTTATTCAAATCATGACGCTGCACCCCACGGTTTAGGTTCTAGGGGCGCCAAAGATAACCCTAAAATCCACATATTTAAAAGTCTTATAACTTTTTATTTTTGTCCTCACTGGCCTCCATGTTTTCTAGGATGATGCAATGTCCAGCCATCAACACATTTGTGAAGGAGTTTTTTCTCGTTAAAAGAGCACCCCCCATGGCAGGAGAATAAAGTCAAGTTTTTCCTGTTCATCATTCAATGGCTCAAACGCACTGCTCTCTCGGCAAAAGCGAAAGGAGGAGCAACTTGCCATTTGGATATATCTTAGCTGTGTTTGTGCCCTCACTCATGGTCCAGACTTTTTTCAAATAGGACATGGAGTTTTTCTGCAGCGAGCGTTTTGGTAGAAACTGCGCCTCCCGTTCATTATAATGGTAAATGACCACAAACAAGTGCGCACACCATCTTTGGACCTTGAGTGTGACGCGATCGGGTGGGGGAGGCGGTCGCGCTGAGGGCGGCGTGACATGGCTCGGGCCCGCCAGTGCCCCAACGGGGCCCTAGTTTTTCTTTTTCCTCCCCTTTGAACTGGAAAATGGCCCACTTCCCACTGGCGAAAACTCATGAAATTTGGCAGGACGACCGGGCCTGGTGAAAAATTTGATATTCCGAAGTCGCCCAAACAAGAAAATGCAAAATGGCTCCATAGCGCCCCCTAAGGTGAAAAATTCACCTGACGCCTGTACGCTTTGTCAAAATGACACAAAAATTGACACACACATGTATCTCAGTAAGATCTACAAAAAAGTCAGTGCGGGCGTATCTGTCAAATGTACGGTTAAAGGGTTATTTCGCATTTTTTGCCGATCCGCACACATTGGAATTTCGCTAACTCCTCCGAAGGCTTTCGTTCCACCGGCACCACATTTGCTCAGGCCAATCTACACCCCATGGCCATTAAAAGTTATTCAAATCATGACGCTGCACCCCAAGGTTTAGGTTCTAGGGGGCGCCAAAGATAACCCTAAGATCCACATATTTAAAAGTCTTATAACTTTTTATTTTTGCCCTCACTGGCCTCCAAGTTTTCTAGGATGATGCAATGTCCAGCCATCAACACATTTGTGAAGGAATTTTTACTCCCCAAAAGAGCGCCCCATGGCAGGAGAAAAAAGTCCATTTTTTCTTGTCCCCTAAGGTGAAAATACACATTGTTGAGTGTAACACCTGTACGCTTTGTCAAAATGACACAAAAATTGACACACACATGTATCTCAATAAGATCTACAAAAAAGTCCATGAGCGCGTATCTGTCAAATGTACGGTTAAAGGGTTATTTCGCATTTTTTGCCGATTCGCACACATTGGAATTTCGCTAACTCCTCCGAAGGCTTTCGTTCCACCGGCACCACATTTGCTCAGGCCAAATTACACCCCATGGCCATTAAAAGTTATTCAAATCATGACGCTGCACCCCACGGTTTACGTTCTAGGGGGCGCCAAAGATAACCCAAAAATCCACATTTTTAAAAGTCTTATAACTTTTTATTTTTGTCCTCACTGGCCTCCAAGTTTTCTAGGATGATGCAATGTCCAGCCATCAACACATTTGTGAAGGAATTTTTACTCCCTAAAAGAGCGCCCCCCCATGGCAGGAGAAAAAAGTCCATTTTTTCTTGTCCCCTAAGGTGGAAATTCACACTATTGACTGTCACGCCTGTACGCTTTATCATATTGACACAAAAATTGACACACATATGTATCTCAATAAGATCTACAAAAAAGTCAATGCGCGCGTATCTGTCAAATGTACGGTTAAAGGGCTATTTTGCATTTTTTGCCGATTCGCACACATTGGAATGTGGCTAACTCCTCCTAAGGCTTTCGTCCCACTGACACCAAATTTGCTCAGGCCAATCTACACCCCATGGCCTTCAAAGTTGTAAAAATCATGACGCTGCACCCCACGGTTTACGTTCTAGGGGGCGCCAAAGATGACCCAAAAATCCACATTCTTAAAGGAATCCACATCCCCCCCCCACCCAAGGCAGGAGAAAAAGTCAAGTTAACCCTGCCCATCGCTCAATGGCTCAATCGCATCGCTCTCCAGGCAACACCGTAAGGAGGAGCAACCTGCCATTTCGATATATCATAGCTGTGTTTGTGCCCTCACTCATGGTCCAGACTTTTTTCAAATAGGACATGAAGTTTGTCTGCAGCGAGTGTTTTGGTAGAAACTGCGCCTCCCATTCATTATAATGGGAAATGACCACAGACAAGTGCGCACACCATCTTTGGACCTTGAGTGTGACGCGATCGGAAGGGGGAGGCGGTCGTGTTGGGGGCGGCGCGACGCGGCTCGGGCCCGACAGTGCCCCACCGGGGCCCTAGTCTTTCTTTTTCTTCTTCTTATTAGGGCCCGAGCGTAGCTGCTAAGCAGCTGCGAGAGCCCTATTATTCCCCAAGGGGTTTTTTAGGGCCCGAGCGTAGCTGCTAAGCAGCTGCGAGAGCCCTCTTGTTCCTGTAGTTTCCTTCTTTTTAGGGCCCGAGCGTAGCTGCTAAGCAGCTGCGAGAGCCCTCTTGTTCCTGTAGTTTCCTTCTTTTGTTATTATTATTATTATTATTATTTTTCCTCCCCTTTGAACTGGAAAATGGCCCACTTCCCACTGGCGAAAACTCATGAAATTTGGCAGGACGACCGGGCCTGGTGAAAAATTTGATATTCCGAAGTCGCCCAAACAAGAAAATGCAAAATGGCTCCATAGCGCCCCCTAAGGTGAAAATTCACACTATTCACTGTCACGCCTGTACGCTTTGTCAAAATGACACAAAAATTGACACACACATGTATCTCAATAAGATCTACAAAAAAGTCAGTGCGGGCGTATCTGTCAAATGTACGGTTAAAGGGTTATTTCGCATTTTTTGCCGATCCGCACACATTGGAATTTCGCTAACTCCTCCGAAGGCTTTCGTTCCACCGGCACCACATTTGCTCAGGCCAATCTACACCCGATGGCCATTAAAAGTTATTCAAATCATGACGCTGCACCCCACGGTTTAGGTTCTAGGGGGCGCCAAAGATAACCCTAAGATCCACATATTTAAAAGTCTTATAACTTTTTATTTTTGCCCTCACTGGCCTCCAAGTTTTCTAGGATGATGCAATGTCCAGCCATCAACACATTTGTGAAGGAATTTTTACTCCCCAAAAGAGCGCCCCCCCATGGCAGGAGAAAAAAGTCCATTTTTTCTTGTCCCCTAAGGTGAAAATACACATTGTTGAGTGTAACACCTGTACGCTTTGGCAAAATGACACAAAAATTGACACACACATGTATCTCAATAAGATCTACGAAAAAGTCAATGCGCGCGTATCTGTCAAATTTACGGTTAAAGGGTTATTCCGCATTTTTTGCCGATCCGCACACATTGGAATTTCGCTAACTCCTCCGAAGGCTTTCGTTCCACCGGCACCACATTTGCTCAGGCCAATCTACACCCCATGGCCATTAAAAGTTATTCAAATCATGACGCTGCACCCCACGGTTTAGGTTCTAGGGGGAGCCAAAGATAACCGTAAAATCCACATATTTAAAAGTCTTATAACTTTTTATTTTTGTCCCCACTGGCCTCCAAGTTTTCTAGGATGATGCAATGTCCAGCCATCAACACATTTGTGAAGGAATTTTTACTCGGCAAAAGAGCGCCCCCCCATGGCAGGAGAAAAAAGTCAATTTTTTCTTGTCCACTAAGGTGAAAATACACATTGTTGAGTGCTACGCCTGTATGTTTTGTCGTATTGACACAAAATTTTACATACACGTGTATTTCAATAAGATCTTCGAAAAAGTCAATGGCCACGTATCTGTAAAATGTACGGTTAAAGGGTTATTTCGCATTTTTTGCAGAATAGCACACATTGGAATTTCACTAATTCCTCCGAAGGCTTTCGTTCCACCGGCACCATATTTGCTCAGGCCAATCTACACCCCATGGCCATTAAAAGTTATTCAAATCATGACGCTGCACCCCACGGTTTAGGTTCTAGGGGGCGCCAAATATAACCCTAAAATCCACATATTTAAAAGTCTTATAACTTTTTATTTTTGTCCTCACTGGCCTCCATGTTTTCTAGGATGATGCAATGTCCAGCCATCAACACATTTGTGAAGGAGTTTTTTCTCTTTAAAAGAGCGCCCCCCATGGCAGGAGAATAAAGTCAAGTTTTTCCTGTTCATCATTCAATGGCTCAAACGCACTGCTCTCTCGGCAAAAGCGAAAGGAGGAGCAACTTGCCATTTGGATATATCTTAGCTGTGTTTGTGCCCTCACTCATGGTCCAGACTTTTTTCAAATAGGACATGGAGTTTTTCTGCAGCGAGCGTTTTGGTAGAAACTGCGCCTCCCGTTCATTATAATGGTAAATGACCACAAACAAGTGCGCACACCATCTTTGGACCTTGAGTGTGACGCGATCGGGTGGGGGAGGCGGTCGCGCTGGGGGCGGCGTGACACGGCTCGGGCCCGCCAGTGCCCCAACGGGGCCCTAGTGTTATTATTATTATTATTTTTCCTCCCCTTTGAACTGGAAAATGGCCCACTTCCCACTGGCGAAAACTCATGAAATTTGGCAGGACGACCGGGCCTGGTGAAAAATTTGATATTCCGAAGTCGCCCAAACAAGAAAATGCAAAATGGCTCCATAGCGCCCCCTAAGGTGAAAATTCACACTATTCATTGTCACGCCTGTACGCTTTGTCAAAATGACACAAAAATTGACACACACATGTATCTCAATAAGATCTACAAAAAAGTCAGTGCGGGCGTATCTGTCAAATGTACGGTTAAAGGGTTATTTCGCATTTTTTGCCGATCCGCACACATTGGAATTTCGCTAACTCCTCCGAAGGCTTTCGTTCCACCGGCACCACATTTGCTCAGGCCAATCTACACCCCATGGCCATTAAAAGTTATTCAAATCATGACGCTGCACCCCACGGTTTAGGTTCTAGGGGGCGCCAAAGATAACCCTAAGATCCACATATTTAAAAGTCTTATAACTTTTTATTTTTGCCCTCACTGGCCTCCAAGTTTTCTAGGATGATGCAATGTCCAGCCATCAACACATTTGTGAAGGAATTTTTACTCCCCAAAAGAGCGCCCCCCCATGGCAGGAGAAAAAAGTCCATTTTTTCTTGTCCCCTAAGGTGAAAATACACATTGTTGGGTGTAACACCTGTACGCTTTGGCAAAATGACACAAAAATTGACACACACATGTATCTCAATAAGATCTACGAAAAAGTCAATGCGCGCGTATCTGTCAAATGTACGGTTAAAGGGTTATTCCGCATTTTTTGCCGATCCGCACACATTGGAATTTCGCTAACTCCTCCGAAGGCTTTCGTTCCACCGGCACCACATTTGCTCAGGCCAATCTACACCCCATGGCCATTAAAAGTTATTCAAATCATGACGCTGCACCCCACGGTTTAGGTTCTAGGGGGCGCCAAAGATAACCGTAAAATCCACATATTTAAAAGTCTTATAACTTTTTATTTTTGTCCCCACTGGCCTCCAAGTTTTCTAGGATGATGCAATGTCCAGCCATCAACACATTTGTGAAGGAATTTTTACTCGGCAAAAGAGCGCCCCCCATGGCAGGAGAAAAAAGTCAATTTTTTCTTGTCCACTAAGGTGAAAATACACATTGTTGAGTGCTACGCCTGTATGTTTTGTCGTATTGACACAAAATTTTACATACACGTGTATTTCAATAAGATCTTCGAAAAAGTCAATGGCCACGTATCTGTAAAATGTACGGTTAGAGGGCTATTTTGCATTTTTTGCCGATTCGCACACATTGGAATGTGGCTAACTCCTCCTAAGGCTTTCGTCCCACTGAAACCAAATTTGCTCAGGCCAATCTACACCCCATGGCCATTCAAAGTTGTAAAAATCATGACGCTGCACCCCACGGTTTACGTTCTAGGGGGCGCCAAAGATAACCGTAAAATCCACATATTTAAAAGTCTTATAACTTTTTATTTTTGTCCCCACTGGCCTCCAAGTTTTCTAGGATGATGCAATGTCCAGCCATCAACACATTTGTGAAGGAATTTTTACTCGGCAAAAGAGCGCCCCCCCATGGCAGGAGAAAAAAGTCAATTTTTTCTTGTCCACTAAGGTGAAAATACACATTGTTGAGTGCTACGCCTGTATGTTTTGTCGTAGTGACACAAAATTTTACATACACGTGTATTTCAATAAGATCTACAAAAAAGTCAGTGCGGGCGTATCTGTAAAATGTACGGTTAAAGGGTTATTTCGCATTTTTTGCAGATTCGCACACATTGGAATGTGGCTAATTCCTCCGAAGGCTTTCGTTCCACCGGCACCACATTTGCTCAGGCCAATCTACACCCCATGGCCATTAAAAGTTATTCAAATCATGACGCTGCACCCCACGGTTTAGGTTCTAGGGGGCGCCAAAGATAACCCTAAGATCCACATATTTAAAAGTCTTATAACTTTTTATTTTTGTCCTCACTGGCCTCCAAGTTTTCTAGGATGATGCAATGTCCAGCCATCAACACATTTGTGAAAGAATTTTTTCTCCCCAAAAGAGCGCCCCCCCCATGGCAGGAGAAAAAGTTAAGTTTTTCCTGCCCTTCGCCCAATGGCTCAAACGCATCGCTCTCTCGGCAAAACCGAAAGGAGGAGCAACTTGCCATTTGGATATATGGAAGCTGTGTTTGTGCCCTCACTCATGGTCCAGACTTTTTTCAAAAAGGACATGGAGTTTGTCTGCAGCGAGCATTTTGGTAGAAACTGCGCCTCCCATTCATTATAATGGTAAATGACCACAGACAAGTGCGCACACCATCTTTGGACCTTGAGTGTGACGCGATCGGGAGGGGGAGGCGGTCGCGCTGGGGGCGGCGAGACACGGCTCGGGCCCGCCAGTGCCCCACCGGGGCCCTAGTCTTTGTTTCTTTCTTTCTTCTTTTTCCTCCCCTTTGAACTGGAAAATGGCCCACTTCCCACTGGCGAAAACTCAGGAAATTTGGCAGGACGACCGGGCCTGGTGAAAAATTTGATATTCCGAAGTCGCCCAAACAAAAAAATGCAAAATGGCTCCATAGCGCCCCCTAAGGTGAAAATTCACACTATTGAGTGTCACGCCTGTACGCTTTGTCAAAATGACACAAAAATTGACACACACATGTATCTCAATAAGATCTACAAAAAAGTCAGTGCGGGCGTATCTGTCAAATGTACGGTTAAAGGGTTATTTCGCATTTTTTGCCGATCCGCACACATTGGAATTTCGCTAACTCCTCCGAAGGCTTTCGTTCCACCGGCACCACATTTGCTCAGGCCAATCTACACCCCATGGCCATTAAAAGTTATTCAAATCATGACGCTGCACCCCACGGTTTAGGTTCTAGGGGGCGCCAAAGATAACCCTAAAATCCACATATTTAAAAGTCTTATAACTTTTTATTTTTGCCCTCACTGGCCTCCAAGTTTTCTAGGATGATGCAATGTCCAGCCATCAACACATTTGTGAAGGAATTTTTACTCCCCAAAAGAGCGCCCCCCCATGGCAGGAGAAAAAAGTCCATTTTTTCTTGTCCCCTAAGGTGAAAATACACATTGTTGAGTGTCACGCCTGTACGCTTTGTCAAAATGACACAAAAATTGACACACACATGTATCTCAATAAGATCTACAAAAAAGTCCATGCGCGCGTATCTGTCTAATGTACGGTTAAAGGGTTATTCCGCATTTTTTGCCGATTCGCACACATTGGAATTTCGCTAACTCCTCCGAAGGCTTTCGTTCCACCGGCACCACATTTGCTCAGGCCAAATTACACCCCATGGCCATTAAAAGTTATTCAAATCATGACGCTGCACCCCACGGTTTACGTTCTAGGGGGCGCCAAAGATAACCCAAAAATCCACATTTTTAAAAGTCTTATAACTTTTTATTTTTGTCCTCACTGGCCTCCAAGTTTTCTAGGATGATGCAATGTCCAGCCATCAACACATTTGTGAAGGAATTTTTACTCCCCAAAAGAGCGCCCCCCCATGGCAGGAGAAAAAAGTCCATTTTTTCTTGTCCCCTAAGGTGAAAATACACATTGTTGACTGTCACGCCTGTACGCTTTGGCAAAATGACACAAAAATTGACAATCATGTGTATCTCAATTAGATCTACGAAAAAGTCAAAGAGCGCGTATCTGTATAATGTACGGTAAAAGGGCTATTTTGCATTTTTTGCCGATTCACACACATTGGAATTTCGCTAACTCCTCCTAAGGCTTTCGTCCCACTGACACCAAATTTGCTCAGGCCAATCTACACTCCATGGCCATTCAAAGTTGTAAAAATCATGACGCTGCACCCCACGGTTTACGTTTTAGGGGGCGCCAAAGATGACCCAAATATACATTACAGTAGACAAAGTAGTTTTGCCCACTGAGTGGCGCCAAAGGGACTTGTCTGTGGAGTCTGTGAGTCACTATTGGCCGTTTTTGACTACTTTAGATTTTACCTTTATATTTCCTCTTACAAAATTTTTACCTTGCCTTGCCTGGTATCATTTTTTTCAGCACAACCTCACCTGTGTCAATTTACAGTTATTTTATCATTTTGACATACTATATTTACACATTGGACCCAAATTCACACACAAAACATAAAATCCGAGTGGAAAAAAGTAACGTTTTTACTGTGAAAACCACAAATATGTGTGATGAACTGTTTTTAAAACTTAAACTTCAATTAAAAATTGTAAACTTCAAAACATATGCAAATTTTTAACAAAGAACATAGTAATTTACCTCTATTGACATCAAAATGCAGGCAATGGCCCAGGTGTTCTTTGTAAAATTATTTACAAAACACTGTATAGTCTCACAAATGTCACTTTTTATTTATGCCACTACAAAAAAACATGATGTAAATGATGCATGATGTAAAACATGATGTAAAAAACTTGTGTAGATCCTCCTCTATGTTAGTCCATGTGTAATTTTTCCATAATTCTTTGTTTTTTGCAGCATTTTTGTTAGTGTAACTGCAGATTGTGCTGACAGTGTCTATGGCAAAAAAAAAAAAAAAAAAAACTGAAAATGCCTCAACATGAACCCCTGGTGGTCTCTGAGGGTGAAACCTGCTAACTGCTGCAGCTCTGTCAGCTTCAGTCTCCCATGCAGAGCTCGGAGCGCATGTGTGGCTCTGCACCCTTAGCAGCGTTGCTAACTCCTCAGTAAGGAAAGCCTGCTTCATGTCAGAGTCTCTAAACTCCAGAAGAAGTCGATAAAAGTCACTTTCTTTCTAAAAAAAAGTCGTTAGGGGGTCTGAAAAGTCATTGAATCTAACAACAAAGTCGCTAGGTTTGCAACTACGTGTCCCAGACTGCATCCCTGCTGAGAGTCCCTCCCTCCCTTCTCATATTGCAGGAAGAACGTAAGTTCCCGCCCCTTGTCAATCAGTCACCATATAATTTTGGATTGGTTGTTGTGGTGAAGTTTTCCACCAATAGGAGAGATGTTGTGGTGTGTGTTTTTTTTTTCCTTTGGCAAGCCTTTTCCGCCTGTAAGACCTGTCGCTAATGTCTGCATGCTATGTTTTCCTGTCTCATACAGCGCGATCGAGCGCCGAACGTGATCAAAATAAGCAGAAAACAAGTATCGTGGACATAATTTATCATAACTCTGGTTTTATTTGGCCTATCAACACAATTTAAAAACTGGTATATAGGTTGAGGTCCTCACTTTTGAGATAAATTGAAACGGAGAGTCAACGAGGCTCCGTCTTGCAGCTACATCCGGTTAAATATGTCATGTGACTTGAACGCACACACACACACACACACACACACACACACACACACACACACACACACACACACAGACACACACACACACGCACACACACACACTCAGAGTCTGGTTTTTAGCACCTGCAAAAACATGCTATTTACATATTTGACAAGAATGCAGAGGCTCCTTTTGCCCCTGAAAAAAATCATATTTCAAACACAACTTGACTGGTCATTTCTCCAAAAGACAACCATGAAGCTCCATCCAAACCTGAAGCAGGCAGTTGGTGCATGTGTACAGTAACCTGAGGGGAGTGAGGTGACTGCTTCTGAGGAGAACATGAGCAGTGAAGATTCACCTTAGAGCTAGAACAGAGACGTGCACATGATTATACAGGGGCAGGGGCTCAAGTTTTTTCCAGTTGTTTATACAATATGGAAATTAATGTGAAATTAAAAAACAAAGTATTAATAGAAAGGTAATGACTGTCCTGTGTAGGTGACAGTGATATCCAATAGGCTAGGCACTCACGAGGCTGGCTGTGGCAAGTGTAAGTGAAAGCAACACGCACTGGCAGGAAGAACAGCAAACGCCGATGAAGGAAAAGGGTCTTTGCAGTGATGGGCGTTACCAGAGAGGGCGATGGCCAGAGGACACAAATGGGACGGGGAGGCAGCGCGTTGGGGGGGGGACGCGACACAGCTCGGGCCCGCCAGTGCCCCAACGGGGTCCTAGTTATTTTTCCTCCCCTTTGAACTGGAAAATGGCCCACTTCCCACTGGCGAAAACTCATGAAATTTGGCAGGACGACCGGGCCTGGTGAAAAATTTGATATTCTGAAGTCGCCCAAACAATACAATGCAAAATGGCTCCATAGCGCCCCCTAAGGTGAAAAATTCACCTGACGCCTGTACGCTTTGTCAAAATGACACAAAAATTGACACACACATGTATCTCAATAAGATCTACAAAAAAGTCAGTGCGGGCGTATCTGTCAAATGTACGGTTAAAGGGTTATTTCGCATTTTTTGCCGATCCGCACACATTGGAATTTCGCTAACTCCTCCGAAGGCTTTCGTTCCACCGGCACCACATTTGCTCAGGCCAATCTACACCCCATGGCCATTAAAAGTTATTCAAATCATGACGCTGCACCCCACGGTTTATGTTCTAGGGGGCGCCAAAGATAACCCTAAAATCCACATATTTCAAAGTCTTATAACTTTTTATTTTTGCCCTCACTGGCCTCCAAGTTTTCTAGGATGATGCAATGTCCAGCCATCAACACATTTGTGAAGGAATTTTTACTCCCCAAAAGAGCGCCCCCCCATGGCAGGAGAAAAAAGTCCATTTTTTCTTGTTCCATAAGGTGAAAATTCACACTATTGACTGTCACGCCTGTACGCTTTGTCAAAATTACACAAAAATTGACACACACATGTATCTCAATAAGATCTACAAAAAAGTCAGTGCGGGCGTATCTGTCAAATGTACGGTTAAAGGGTTATTGCGCATTTTTTGCCGATCCGCACACATTGGAATTTCGCTAACTCCTCCGAAGGCTTTCGTTCCACCGGCACCACATTTGCTCAGGCCAATCTACACCCCATGGCCATTAAAAGTTATTCAAATCATGACGCTGCACCCCACGGTTTAGGTTCTAGGGGGCGCCAAAGATAACCCTAAAATCCACATATTTAAAAGTCTTATAACTTTTTATTTTTGTCCTCTCTGGCCTCCAAGTTTTCTAGGATGATGCAATGTCCAGCCATCAACACATTTGTGAAGGAATTTTTACTCCCTAAAAGAGCGCCCCCCCATGGCAGGAGAAAAAAGTCCATTTTTTCTTGTCCCATAAGGTGAAAATACACATTGTTGACTGTCATACCTGTATGCTTTGTCATATTGACACAAAATTTGACACACACATGTATCTCAATAAGATCTACGAAAAAGTCAATGCGCGCGTATCTGTAAAATGTACGGTTAAAGGGCTATTTTGCATTTTTTGCTGATTAGCACACATTGGAATGTGGCTAACTCCTCCTAAGGCTTTCGTCCCACTGACACCAAATTTGCTCAGGCCAATCTACACCCCATGGCCATTCAAAGTTTTAAAAATCATGACGCTGCACCCCACGGTTTACGTTCTAGGGGGCGCCAAAGATGACCCAAATATCCACATTCTTAAAAGAATCCACATCCCTTTCCCCCCTCCCATCCCCCATCCCCCATGGCAGGAGAAACAGTCAAGTTTTTCCTGCCCATCACTCAATGGCTCAATCGCATCGCTCTCCCGGCAACACCGTAACGAGGAGCAACTTGCCGTTTGGATATATCCTAGCTGTGTTTGTGCCCTCACTCATGGTCCAGACTTTTTTCAAATAGGACATGTAGTTTGTCTGCAGCGAGTGTTTTGGTAGAAACTGCGCCTCCCATTCATTATAATGGGAAATGACCACAGACAAGTGCGCACACCATCTTTGGACCTTGAGTGTGACGCGATCGGGAGGGGGAGGCGGTCGCACTGGGGGCGGCGCAACGCGGCTCGGGCCCGCCAGTGCCCCAACGGGGCCCTAGTCTTTGTTTCTTTTTTCTTTTTCCTCCCCTTTGAACTGGAAAATGGCCCACTTCCCACTGGCGAAAACTCATGAAATTTGGCAGGACAACCGGGCCTGGTGAAAAATTTGATATTCCGAAGTCGCCCAAACAAGAAAATGCAAAATGGCTCCATAGCGCCCCCTAAGGTGAAAATTCACACTATTGAGTGTCACGCCTGTACGCTTTGTCAAAATGACACAAAAATTGACACACACATGTATCTCAATAAGATCTACAAAAAAGTCAGTGCGGGCGTATCTGTCAAATGTACGGTTAAAGGGTTATTTCGCATTTTTTGCCGATCCGCACACATTGGAATTTCGCTAACTCCTCCGAAGGCTTTCGTTCCACCGGCACCACATTTGCTCAGGCCAATCTACACCCCATGGCCATTAAAAGTTATTCAAATCATGACGCTGCACCCCACGGTTTAGGTTCTAGGGGGCGCCAAAGATAACCCTAAAATCCACATATTTAAAAGTCTTATAACTTTTTATTTTTGCCCTCACTGGCCTCCAAGTTTTCTAGGATGATGCAATGTCCAGCCATCAACACATTTGTGAAGGAATTTTTACTCCCCAAAAGAGCGCCCCCCATGGCAGGAGAAAAAAGTCCATTTTTTCTTGTCCCCTAAGGTGAAAATACACATTGTTGAGTGTCACGCCTGTACGCTTTGTCAAAATGACACAAAAATTGACACACACATGTATCTCAATAAGATCTACAAAAAAGTCCATGCGCGCGTATCTGTCTAATGTACGGTTAAAGGGTTATTCCGCATTTTTTGCCGATTCGCACACATTGGAATTTCGCTAACTCCTCCGAAGGCTTTCGTTCCACCGGCACCACATTTGCTCAGGCCAAATTACACCCCATGGCCATTAAAAGTTATTCAAATCATGACGCTGCACCCCACGGTTTACGTTCTAGGGGGCGCCAAAGATAACCCAAAAATCCACATTTTTAAAAGTCTTATAACTTTTTATTTTTGTCCTCACTGGCCTCCAAGTTTTCTAGGATGATGCAATGTCCAGCCATCAACACATTTGTGAAGGAATTTTTACTCCCCAAAAGAGCGCCCCCCCATGGCAGGAGAAAAAAGTCCATTTTTTCTTGTCCCCTAAGGTGAAAATACACATTGTTGACTGTCACGCCTGTACGCTTTGGCAAAATGACACAAAAATTGACAATCATGTGTATCTCAATTAGATCTACGAAAAAGTCAAAGAGCGCGTATCTGTATAATGTACGGTAAAAGGGCTATTTTGCATTTTTTGCCGATTCGCACACATTGGAATTTCGCTAACTCCTCCTAAGGCTTTCGTCCCACTGACACCAAATTTGCTCAGGCCAATCTACACTCCATGGCCATTCAAAGTTGTAAAAATCATGACGCTGCACCCCACGGTTTACGTTTTAGGGGGCGCCAAAGATGACCCAAATATACATTACAGTAGACAAAGTAGTTTTGCCCACTGAGTGGCGCCAAAGGGACTTGTCTGTGGAGTCTGTGAGTCACTATTGGCCGTTTTTGACTACTTTAGATTTTACCTTTATATTTCCTCTTACAAAATTTTTACCTTGCCTTGCCTGGTATCATTTTTTTCAGCACAACCTCACCTGTGTCAATTTACAGTTATTTTATCATTTTGACATACTATATTTACACATTGGACCCAAATTCACACACAAAACATAAAATCCGAGTGGAAAAAAGTAACGTTTTTACTGTGAAAACCACAAATATGTGTGATGAACTGTTTTTAAAACTTAAACTTCAAATAAAAATTGTAAACTTCAAAACATATGCAAATTTTTAACAAAGAACATAGTAATTTACCTCTATTGACATCAAAATGCAGGCAATGGCCCAGGTGTTCTTTGTAAAATTATTTACAAAACACTGTATAGTCTCACAAATGTCACTTTTTATTTATGCCACTACAAAAAAACATGATGTAAATGATGCATGATGTAAAACATGATGTAAAAAACTTGTGTAGATCCTCCTCTATGTTAGTCCATGTGTAATTTTTCCATAATTCTTTGTTTTTTGCAGCATTTTTGTTAGTGTAACTGCAGATTGTGCTGACAGTGTCTATGGCAAAAAAAAAAAAAAAAAAACTGAAAATGCCTCAACATGAACCCCTGGTGGTCTCTGAGGGTGAAACCTGCTAACTGCTGCAGCTCTGTCAGCTTCAGTCTCCCATGCAGAGCTCGGAGCGCATGTGTGGCTCTGCACCCTTAGCAGCGTTGCTAACTCCTCAGTAAGGAAAGCCTGCTTCATGTCAGAGTCTCTAAACTCCAGAAGAAGTCGATAAAAGTCACTTTCTTTCTAAAAAAAAGTCGTTAGGGGGTCTGAAAAGTCATTGAATCTAACAACAAAGTCGCTAGGTTTGCAACTACGTGTCCCAGACTGCATCCCTGCTGAGAGTCCCTCCCTCCCTTCTCATATTGCAGGAAGAACGTAAGTTCCCGCCCCTTGTCAATCAGTCACCATATAATTTTGGATTGGTTGTTGTGGTGAAGTTTTCCACCAATAGGAGAGATGTTGTGGTGTGTTTTTTTTTTCCTTTGGCAAGCCTTTTCCGCCTGTAAGACCTGTCGCTAATGTCTGCATGCTATGTTTTCCTGTCTCATACAGCGCGATCGAGCGCCGAACGTGATCAAAATAAGCAGAAAACAAGTATCGTGGACATAATTTATCATAACTCTGGTTTTATTTGGCCTATCAACACAATTTAAAAACTGGTATATAGGTTGAGGTCCTCACTTTTGAGATAAATTGAAACGGAGAGTCAACGAGGCTCCGTCTTGCAGCTACATCCGGTTAAATATGTCATGTGACTTGAACGCACACACACACACACACACACACACACACACACACACACACACACACACACAGACACACACACACACGCACACACACACACTCAGAGTCTGGTTTTTAGCACCTGCAAAAACATGCTATTTACATATTTGACAAGAATGCAGAGGCTCCTTTTGCCCCTGAAAAAAATCATATTTCAAACACAACTTGACTGGTCATTTCTCCAAAAGACAACCATGAAGCTCCATCCAAACCTGAAGCAGGCAGTTGGTGCATGTGTACAGTAACCTGAGGGGAGTGAGGTGACTGCTTCTGAGGAGAACATGAGCAGTGAAGATTCACCTTAGAGCTAGAACAGAGACGTGCACATGATTATACAGGGGCAGGGGCTCAAGTTTTTTCCAGTTGTTTATACAATATGGAAATTAATGTGAAATTAAAAAACAAAGTATTAATAGAAAGGTAATGACTGTCCTGTGTAGGTGACAGTGATATCCAATAGGCTAGGCACTCACGAGGCTGGCTGTGGCAAGTGTAAGTGAAAGCAACACGCACTGGCAGGAAGAACAGCAAACGCCGATGAAGGAAAAGGGTCTTTGCAGTGATGGGCGTTACCAGAGAGGGCGATGGCCAGAGGACACAAATGGGACGGGGAGGCAGCGCGGGGGGGGGGGACGCGACACAGCTCGGGCCCGCCAGTGCCCCAACGGGGTCCTAGTTATTTTTCCTCCCCTTTGAACTGGAAAATGGCCCACTTCCCACTGGCGAAAACTCATGAAATTTGGCAGGACGACCGGGCCTGGTGAAAAATTTGATATTCTGAAGTCGCCCAAACAATACAATGCAAAATGGCTCCATAGCGCCCCCTAAGGTGAAAAATTCACCTGACGCCTGTACGCTTTGTCAAAATGACACAAAAATTGACACACACATGTATCTCAATAAGATCTACAAAAAAGTCAGTGCGGGCGTATCTGTCAAATGTACGGTTAAAGGGTTATTTCGCATTTTTTGCCGATCCGCACACATTGGAATTTCGCTAACTCCTCCGAAGGCTTTCGTTCCACCGGCACCACATTTGCTCAGGCCAATCTACACCCCATGGCCATTAAAAGTTATTCAAATCATGACGCTGCACCCCACGGTTTATGTTCTAGGGGGCGCCAAAGATAACCCTAAAATCCACATATTTCAAAGTCTTATAACTTTTTATTTTTGCCCTCACTGGCCTCCAAGTTTTCTAGGATGATGCAATGTCCAGCCATCAACACATTTGTGAAGGAATTTTTACTCCCCAAAAGAGCGCCCCCCCATGGCAGGAGAAAAAAGTCCATTTTTTCTTGTTCCATAAGGTGAAAATTCACACTATTGACTGTCACGCCTGTACGCTTTGTCAAAATTACACAAAAATTGACACACACATGTATCTCAATAAGATCTACAAAAAAGTCAGTGCGGGCGTATCTGTCAAATGTACGGTTAAAGGGTTATTGCGCATTTTTTGCCGATCCGCACACATTGGAATTTCGCTAACTCCTCCGAAGGCTTTCGTTCCACCGGCACCACATTTGCTCAGGCCAATCTACACCCCATGGCCATTAAAAGTTATTCAAATCATGACGCTGCACCCCACGGTTTAGGTTCTAGGGGGCGCCAAAGATAACCCTAAAATCCACATATTTAAAAGTCTTATAACTTTTTATTTTTGTCCTCTCTGGCCTCCAAGTTTTCTAGGATGATGCAATGTCCAGCCATCAACACATTTGTGAAGGAATTTTTACTCCCTAAAAGAGCGCCCCCCCATGGCAGGAGAAAAAAGTCCATTTTTTCTTGTCCCATAAGGTGAAAATACACATTGTTGACTGTCATACCTGTATGCTTTGTCATATTGACACAAAATTTGACACACACATGTATCTCAATAAGATCTACGAAAAAGTCAATGCGCGCGTATCTGTAAAATGTACGGTTAAAGGGCTATTTTGCATTTTTTGCTGATTAGCACACATTGGAATGTGGCTAACTCCTCCTAAGGCTTTCGTCCCACTGACACCAAATTTGCTCAGGCCAATCTACACCCCATGGCCATTCAAAGTTTTAAAAATCATGACGCTGCACCCCACGGTTTACGTTCTAGGGGGCGCCAAAGATGACCCAAATATCCACATTCTTAAAAGAATCCACATCCCTTTCCCCCCCCTCCCATCCCCCATCCCCCATGGCAGGAGAAACAGTCAAGTTTTTCCTGCCCATCACTCAATGGCTCAATCGCATCGCTCTCCCGGCAACACCGTAACGAGGAGCAACTTGCCGTTTGGATATATCCTAGCTGTGTTTGTGCCCTCACTCATGGTCCAGACTTTTTCAAATAGGACATGTAGTTTGTCTGCAGCGAGTGTTTTGGTAGAAACTGCGCCTCCCATTCATTATAATGGGAAATGACCACAGACAAGTGCGCACACCATCTTTGGACCTTGAGTGTGACGCGATCGGGAGGGGGAGGCGGTCGCACTGGGGGCGGCGCAACGCGGCTCGGGCCCGCCAGTGCCCCAACGGGGCCCTAGTCTTTGTTTCTTTTTTCTTTTTCCTCCCCTTTGAACTGGAAAATGGCCCACTTCCCACTGGCGAAAACTCATGAAATTTGGCAGGACAACCGGGCCTGGTGAAAAATTTGATATTCCGAAGTCGCCCAAACAAGAAAATGCAAAATGGCTCCATAGCGCCCCCTAAGGTGAAAATTCACACTATTGAGTGTCACGCCTGTACGCTTTGTCAAAATGACACAAAAATTGACACACACATGTATCTCAATAAGATCTACAAAAAAGTCAGTGCGGGCGTATCTGTCAAATGTACGGTTAAAGGGTTATTTCGCATTTTTTGCCGATCCGCACACATTGGAATTTCGCTAACTCCTCCGAAGGCTTTCGTTCCACCGGCACCACATTTGCTCAGGCCAATCTACACCCCATGGCCATTAAAAGTTATTCAAATCATGACGCTGCACCCCACGGTTTAGGTTCTAGGGGGCGCCAAAGATAACCCTAAAATCCACATATTTAAAAGTCTTATAACTTTTTATTTTTGCCCTCACTGGCCTCCAAGTTTTCTAGGATGATGCAATGTCCAGCCATCAACACATTTGTGAAGGAATTTTTACTCCCCAAAAGAGCGCCCCCCCATGGCAGGAGAAAAAAGTCCATTTTTTCTTGTCCCCTAAGGTGAAAATACACATTGTTGAGTGTCACGCCTGTACGCTTTGTCAAAATGACACAAAAATTGACACACACATGTATCTCAATAAGATCTACAAAAAAGTCCATGCGCGCGTATCTGTCAAATGTACGGTTAAAGGGTTATTCCGCATTTTTTGCCGATTCGCACACATTGGAATTTCGCTAACTCCTCCGAAGGCTTTTGTTCCACCGGCACCACATTTGCTCAGGCCAATCTACACCCCATGGCCATTAAAAGTTATT